GGCTGTGGTGGTCGGTCTGGCCGAGGCCCGGCAAGCGCGCGCGCGTCGCCCGCGGCGGGCGCCGCGGTCGCGGTGCTGCGACAGGAGCGCGAAGTGCGACTGGCTGCCGGCCGAAGCCGCGAGGGCCAGAAAGCGGGGTTGCAACAACCCTTTCATGCGCGCGGACCTGCGAGGCCCCCCCCTGCGCGGGCAGCTGGCGCCCGCGGGGGGGAGCGACGCCGACGGCGACGACTGGGCTGCGGGTAGCAGCGGCAAGGGCCCGCACGCGTTATCAGTGTCCGAGTGGCACCTCGCCTGCGACGCGCGGGCAATCGCGGCCGCGGCTAACGAGCAGTTATCATGCGCGCGGTGCGTGGAACGCAAACAAGCGCTTTGCACTGCGGCCCCGCGCCGCGCCGGCGCGCGCACAACGGCGGGCGCCGCCTGGCGCGTCGCTGGGTGGGTTACGGTTTGGAAGCCCCCCCTGCGGGGCGCAAGGTAGGGCTCGGGCTCTTGCGCGATAAAATCGCCAGGAAGGGCTGGGCCGAGCGCTCGCTGCATACCGGCGTTGGGCCGTTAAACGTCGAAGAGGCCGCCGAAGGTCTCGACTCGCTGGCCCTGCGGGCAGCAGAGAACGAGTTCGATTGCGCCGCCGTTGCCATGTCTAACGCGGGCCGGCGTTGCTGGTCGCGCGCGCGTTCCGCCGCGCAGGCGCAGTCAGCCAACGCGGTCGGGGCGACTGCGGGGGCGCCCAGGCCGGGTGCCAGCGCGGGCCCAGCGCGACAGGATCAAGGCCACCGCCGCCGATGGGCCCAGCGGGGGAATTCGCGGAAAGCTCAAAAATAAGGCAGCTCTGGCAGCTCGCGGGCTGCTCAGAAGAGGCCCGCGGAGGATGACGGGGCGCGCGGGCCTCGGACACCTCCGCGCCCAGTCAGGGCTCCATCTTGGCCGGGCAGCCGCCGGCGAGGACGGCTTGCGCAGATGGCGAAGAAGCAGCGAGCGAAGCTGCGCACTCGAGACGCGCCTCGCGCGGCGCCGGGGCGCGATGTCATCAGGCGCGGTCCTCTGCCCATCGTGGCAGGCTGCGCTCGCGATGCCAGGCCTATTTATATAATCATAAAAACTCGCCCGTGCGGCCCGCGTTCATTCGCGCGGGATGGCGCATGAATGCGCGCCCGGTCGCGTTCAAATCGCGCAGCGCACTCCAGCGGCGCGTTGCGCCGCAATCCTGCGTCGCGCCCGCGCACGATCCAGCGCGGCTGGAAGACTGCGAGGCCGCCGGCGTCAGCCACGTCAACGAAGCGCGCGCGGCGCGGCGATGCAGCTGATGGTCTGCGACGAGCGCGCGTTCCCCCATCGCCGGCCGCATTTGCGGCGCGGCGCACATTCGCGCGGCTCAGCTTCGCCGTCCGCGCGCCCGCATCTGTTCGCCAGGCCGGCGCGCGTCGCCATCCGCCGCCGCCTCCGCCGCCGCCGCGCCCGGGCGCGCGGCGGGAAACGATCGCTGGGGGAACGGGGGCGGCCCGCGCGCCTTGCGTCGAATTCCTGGCTCGGGCGAAGCCATCCGCTGGGAAGCGGGGAGGGCCGCGGGTCGCGCGATCCAGGGGCGCGCGGCGATAATCTCGCGCATCGAAGCCAGGGGGCGCCAGCTCGAGCGCCCTGGATCCTCGGAGCGATGGCGCCGCGGCGTGGCCGACAGCGCCGTCAGCTGGCGCATCGCAAACGCGAGCGGCCCATTGCTGACCGAACTTCTGAGTGGGGCGACGCATGCAGACCCCGAGGTAACCGAATCGCCGCGCGCTGGTTTCCCGATTCTGGGCAAGCTGCCGTTCGCGGGCGACGGCGCGCCACTTCTCGCGTGGATGCCGCAGGCTCGGCCATTGATTTGCGGACTGCGCCCGTGCGTAACGCCGACGTCCTACGCGCGCTGCGCGAGGATCCGTCGTCCGCAGAATTGCTCGCACGCGCGCGCGCGCCGACGCGGCGCGCGGCCGCGCGGCCTCGCTAGTCGCGCCCGCGCCAGGGCAGGAGGCGCGCGGGCGATGGGCGAAGCGAATCGCCGTGCGCCGGGGCGTTCGCCCCGACGGGTCCCCGAATATCCGCGTTGTAGACGATTCGCCGAGGAGCGGCGTCAACGCGTGCGTCTGCGCCAGCGAGAAATTGCGGGTCGATTGCGCACACTTTTACGGCACTTTTGAACACGTTCCAGACTGCTGCTGTCGTTTGTCCCGCGATCTTGAAGGCAGACATCGACGCCGTGCACAGGCGCCTGCCAGTGTGCCCTGAGGACCGATGGGCAGCTACCTCGGTCTTTGTGCGCAAGGGGAGCTCGGTCATTTCGACGCAAATCGGGCTGCCGTTCGGCTCAGTGGCATCGGTTCGCGACTGGGGGCGCGGCACCCCCGTGCATTGCAAAGAGAATTCAGCGTCTGCCGATTGCGCGTTACGTAGACCTTTTCTGGCCGCTGGTTCCGGGTCGTCGTGCCGCCTCCGAATGAACTGGAGGGCGCGCTCGCCAAGAGCTCGGGCGCGCAAATCATGGCGCTGGAGCTCGCCGCAACTCCCCTCGGTCCGTCAGCGCTCGCACGTCGCGCGCGCGGCCGCCCGATCCGCATTTACTCGGACAACGTCGGCGCAGAGCGCTCGCCGCACTGGCGGGCGCCGCAGCGTCCGATCACGCGCGCCCGGCGGCTTCAGCTGGCCGCGCTCGACGCCGACGCGTGGTTTTTGCGAGCGCCTGCGAAGGCCGACATCGCTGACCTGCCCAGCCGATGCCAACGCTCCCTTCTTCGGCGGGCCCGCGCGCCCGAGGTGGGCGCGTGCTGGTTTTAAGCGCTTCGCAAATTCAATGACGTCTCAGCGTTTCTGACGCGCGCCAGCGCGCGTTCCGCGGCGCGGAAGGCGGGGCGCGCGGCGCGAGCGGCGGCGCCCTCGGCCGCGCCCCGCTGGATCGCGCGCCCGCGCGCGGCATCGCGCGGGGCGCGAGCGAGCGACGGGTGCGATGGCGGGCTTCGCCGCCAGAGTCGTTCGCGCACTGCGCTTCGAGTAAGCGACGCCCGCGCATATTGCAAGTGGAGGGCGCGCGAGTCATCCGGTCGCGCGGGCCCTCTCTCTCTCTCGCGCACTTCCTTTGCGTGTCGCGCGAGACGCTCGAGGCTCAGCTGCGCGAAGCGCTGGGCGAAGCGCTGGGCGATGCGCCGCGCGATCGCCCGGGCGCGGCCCGCCGTCGCGCGTGGTCGAACGGGGAATATGGATATAGTTTGGCCCCCGGGGGCCCGAAAATGTCCATGGACACCGCCTGCCGGGGCCCGCGAAAATTGATCCTCCAGGTGGTGGTCACGCATGCACTCCCGCCTCGGAACGCCGGCGTTTCCCGAGCGAGGTTGGCCAGCAAGAGTCGCTGAGGATGGGCCGAATGGGGCAAGGGTGCAAGGGTGCCCTTGGGAAGGATGCCCACCCTTACTCCCCAGACCCCCGACGTCATGATTTTTTCATGACGCGACCCCCAGAGGTCTGGACCTATTCGCCGGGACTGGTTTTTCATCCTGAGTCGTTTTTTGACGCTCCCGAGGCCCGGTGAGGGCCCCCGGAGGCCGAAAATTAGGAAAAACCTCCCGTCGTGATTTTTTCATGACTCGAGGGGGTCTGGGTCGGCGGGTCGACTGCAGCCCGTCGGCGGGGAAACCTGACGCCCCAGGACTCACATCCGACGCCGTGATTTTTTGTCGCGCCGTGGCTCCCCAGAAGTCTGGGCCCCTTCCGCATGCCGGCGCTCCGTCCCGAGTCGACGCCTGGCGGTCCCGCGGCCAGGCTGAAATCGGGCCTGTCCCCCTACAGGTGGATTTTCGACGGATTTTTTTTATATATATATATATATATATATATATGTATGTGTATATATATATGTATATATAGATACAAATATATTTATAAAGAAAAATATAAAAGAAAATAATCCCAAACAAGTCTGGGGACTATTTTTTGAATATAATTGTACCTTGTTGGTGTATTTTTGAATCTGTTTTATCTGTCGTCGAAAATCCCCCTGTAGGGGGACAGGCCCGACTTAAGGCCAGGCGGGGGCCCTCGGAGGGCGAAGAGGAACAGAAGCCTTCCACACTGGCCCTGCCGCGACGAGGAGACTCGGCGGCGGGCGAGGGGGGGAAGCGAGAAGGAAAAGGCCTTCGCAGAGGGCGGCGGGGCTTCGCAGAAGCGCTGTGGCTGACAAGTGTTAAGTCGGGCGTGTCCCCCGACAGGGGGATTTTCGACGAATCATAAAAAATACAAACAAAATCTCCCAGATGGTACAAAAATATTTAAAACATAGTCCCCAGACTATGTTTTTTGCATATTTTTGGTGTATTGTTTTATTTTTCGTCGAAAATCCCCCTGTAAGGGGACACGCCCGACTTGAGACAAGTGTTCTGTGTCTTCGGGGAAGGCTCTGGAAACTTCTCAGACTGCCGGGGGACTTCCGAGCCTTCTGAGAAGGCCCGCCCCTTATCACTTTCCCCCGGGCTCGCCGCCGAGGGATGTCAGAATCCCCCGAGTGTTCCTTCCCAGATGTTTCCCCCCCAATATGACACACACGCATTCACACACCGATGATAAAAAACTCCTATTATTGATGGGAAAGGGACTCCACCAGTCTAAGACAGGCCAGACATAATTTCAAGGATCACAGACTGGCAGCAGCCCGAGCGGACCGCGTGGTCTCCAAAAACTGTCTCAGACCCTGAGATCCGACGCTGCAGAAAATTTGAACATCGCAGAAAATCACGACCGGAGCCCCAGACCCGATCTTTCTCTGTAATCTGTCGTACCGGATCGATCTGTGAGGGTCCCAGGGCCCTAAATTGAGCGAAGACGTCCGCCGTGAAAAACTGGCAGCGCCAGGATCTCAGGGGAGGGAGGGGGAGAAGGAGGAGGAGGAGCGAGGAGGACGCCGACCTCAAGCTGGGCTTGGCAGCTCTCCGCCAGCTCACCGCTCTGGACACGAAAACCCGCTGACCCGCCGGAGCCTGCCCCAGCATTCGGGAGATCGGCAGGCCCCGCCAGATGTCGCTCGGCACGGGCTCCGTGTCCTGCCGACGCGGCGAGGATCCATCCGAGGCGGGCGACGGATGCAACATTCATCAGCGCAGAGGAAGCCCAAGACGATGCTAGGACAAGGATCAATTCGGGCGAGGGCAGATCGAGATTCTCCGAGATCCAGCGGCTCTGGAGGATGTCTCGGGCGCCGCGGCCTTCTCAGAGCGTTCCAGAACGCTCTGAGAGCGTCCTGGAACGCCCTGGAACGGACGGATTTATCCTCGTCCTAGCCCCGCCCGACATTAGCGTTAAATCGGGCCTGTCCCCGTACAAGCGGCTTTCGAGCGAAAAATAAGAAATAGTCAACACATATTAAAACATAGCCGCAAACTTAATCAAACATCGTCCCTGGACCATGTTTCACAATTTTTGAATATTCCTCCTGTAGAGGGAGAGGCCCGACTTAACACTAGCGCGAAGGAAGACTCAGGGTCCGTCTGCGCCGCAAAAGCACAAGAGACCAATTGTCATGTTTCGCGTCGTACCCTTGTGATTGCAGGTAGGCGCAAATATCGTCAGCCCACCTCTTGTGCGGCCTTCTCAGAGCGTTCCAGAACGCTCTGAGAGCGTCCCGGAACGCTCCGGAACGCATTCGTCGTCGTCCTAACCCCGCCCAGCGTAACATCAGCGCAGAGGAAGCCTCAGGGCCCGCCTGCACCGCAAAGGGCTCTCGGCGGTGTGCTCCTGGGGCTCTCTGCGCTCCTTCTGCCCTTACCAGCCTCGAGCGTATCCCTATCCCTGAGATTGGCACGCCGAAAGGCGAGGACAATCTTAGGGATTCGCCCTCAAACAAGAAGGGAATCCCTAAGATTGGCATCGTGATGAGGAGGTGCCCAGCATAGGGATAGGGATATGTTCCAGGCTGGTAATGTCGGGGATGGACAGACCTCCCTTTAGTAAAACGTGGTTTAGTGAAAACGACCCGAGGCCCAAATTTGGCGGGCGCAAGCCTGGAAAATAGCGGCCACGGCGCCCTCCCGAGAACCGAAAACGGACAATTCACTAATCGACGTGTCACTGTTGGGGGTTCTGTCCACCCCCGATAATGCCCGGCCTCGGAGGCTGCTCTTCCAGGGAGCAGCTGCGCCCCTCGCCGCGGGCGTGCGGGCCCGCCTCTCGCCCCGAGGGGCCGCCCGGGGGCCGAACGCTCTGGAACGGATTCGTCCTCGCCCCAGCCCCGCCCGACAGCAGCGTTGAGCCGGGCGTGTCCCCCTACAGGGGGATTGTCGAGGAAGGGCAACAGATACCCCAAAAGTACCCCAGGAAGGTCAAACAAACACGCAGAACATAGTCCCCAGACTATTCTTTTTTACAATTTTTGGATTACTTCTGGGGTATATTTCATTTGTCGTCGAAAATCCCCTTGTAGGGGGACAGGCCCGACATAACAGCAGCGCAGAGGAAACCTCAGGGCCCGCCCGCGCCGCGAGGGCTCTCGGCGCTTTTGTCCAGCCTCGGAGGGTGCTCTACCGCAGCTGCGCCTCTCGCCGAGGGCGGGCGCGCGCCCGCGTCGTCCCGAACGGCCGCCGGGGGCCCGAGTACAGTCATCGGCCTGACCTAAGGAAGGATCAATCAGGAACGAAGCCCTTTTTTCCCAAGGAATAACGCATAAGGAACGATAAGAAACGCATGCAAGCCTTAGGAACGGCCGAGCCCCGTTTGAAAAGTAAGTGTTCCTTATTCAAGCCGCTCCATGTAATGGCCCGAAAACATGCCGAGACCCAGACCTCCCACGGTACGATTTCCGTCAGCCAGCGGTTTCCTTCGATTTCGGCCTTCAGGGGCCGTTGCCAGGACAATCCGGCACAAACGGACCCAGGGCGAACATGGAATCCCGGGGAAGCGGTCGGGACCTGTGATGGGCAACGACAGGGGGGGACCAGGAGGCCTCTTCCTCCTCCTCCTCCTCCTCCTCTCCTCCTCCTCTCCTCCTCCTCCAACTCCTCCTCCTCCTCCTCCTCCTCCTCCTCCTCCTCCTCCTCCTCCTACGAATGGGGGTGAAGCGTCGACCTGGAATCGGCGATGCATCGCCGACAGGTCGGCGAGGGGCCCCCTTAAAAAAGTGAAGCCCCACGTCCCCGGACGGGGGCGGCCTGTCGGGCCCGCATCGGCGATGAGTGGACGAGTGGGGGTCGATGCCTCCCCCCGTGCCTACCGCACCCGTTCGGGCACACCCCTCACACGTTTCGTGGCCCTACAAGGAGCTCCGCCGAAGGCTCCAGTGGCTGCGCTTCCATGGCGAAACCGCGTGCAATTCGGCACAGCCCTCGCGCGCTGCGTGGCCCGAGAACGAGCTCCGCCGAAAGCAGAGCCCACACCGCGGCACTCACAGCTGCATATGCTTTGGTCGTCCGCAGAGGTAATTGAAGGTCCCGCTGCCCTGCGAGCACCACCAGAGGCAGAAAACGAGGAAACATGTCCGTCCTGATGTTTCCAAAACGTTACACGTCTGGCAAGGACGAACGCAACGCGGCAGCAACAAAAGCAACGGCGGCGGCGGTGCCAGCAGCAGCAGGGCAAGAAGGGACGGAAGGGGGCACAGCCGCGGCCAGGCTGCGCGGGGGAGAGCCACGCTCGCCACGGCAGGGGCGAGGGGAGAGGCGGGGAGTGAGAACGATCCCTTCCATGACACCACTGCGCAGATGCTGAAAAATAGCCAGCTCCCCCACTGAAGGAAAGGGCGACTCCACCGTTCGAGGCACCACCCACGGCGAAAAGGGAAGACACGGAGCACGAGGAGCAAACCGAGGACGAGGAGGGAGAGCGGGCAGCGCCATCGTCAAACACGCCCGCCGTGCACATCTGTTGCTTACAACCCTGGCCCATGGTGGAAGTAAACAGGCTGCGCACAGGCTTCCGCCACGGAGGAGGAGGAGGAGGAGGAGGAGGAGGTGGAGTAGGAGGAGGAGAAGGAGGAGGAGGAGGAGAGGAGGAGGAGGAGGGAGGAGGAGGAGGGAGGGAGGAGGAGGAGGAGGAGGAGGAGGAGGGAGGAGGTGGAGGAGGAGGAGGGGAGGAGGAGGAGGAGAGGAGGGAGGAGAGGAGGAGGAGGAGGAGAGGGAGGAGGGAGGAGGAGGAGGAGGAGGAGGGGAGAGGGGGAATAGGCTTCGTGCGTGCAGTGAGCGGCCCTTGGCCAGGATGACCTTTGGCGCTCGGCCTGCGATGCGAAAGTGGGCCCACATCCCCTACACCCCCCCCCCCCCTCCTCCTCCTCCTCCTCCCCTCCTCCTCTCCTCCTCCCCCTCCTCCTCCTCCTCTTCCTCCTCCTCCTCCTCCTCCTCCTCCTCCTCCTCCTCCTTCCTCCTCCTCCTCCAGGGCCACGGCTCCAGCCAGGGCCCGCTCCCCCTGGGGCGGCGCGGGGCGGACCAAAGGCAACCTCCGACAAAGGGACCCGTCGCACGTGCCGCCGCGAAGGGGCTGGTGGGCCCAGAGGTGCGGTGAAGGCAGCGGGTTCGGAAACGTCGGATGAGGAATTCGAGGTCTGGAAGCACCACCGGAGGCAGCCGGAGGTCTGGGGAGGGGGGGGGCGACAGGGCTGGGCCTAACCGCTGTTCTGCTGGACTTGGGCTGTGCTTTGTTTTTCGCTTTGGCAGGGACGCACAGGGAAAACAGGTAGAGCAAGACGAAAAGCAAAACGGACAAAACAAAGAGCAACGTTTAGGACCAGCCCTGGTGGGCGGAGGATGCCGGGAGTGGCGGTGGCCCTCCCGCCCGTGGAACTCCGATCGTGCCCCATCGGAGAAGGGGCCCTCCAAGGCCTGAGGCCTCAGGGGGCACATTCCTAAACACACACACACACACACACCTCCGCTGGATGCGTAGTTGTTCGGTCCGTGGGCCCCAGAGCCCTCGGCCCCTTCCCTTGGGCAGGCTTGTCATCCCAAGTCGGCTCTCTCTCACCGCCTCGGGTCCGAGAGACGACGCTCAGAAGCGGAGAATGGCGAACAACAAAATCTGGTGCGATGCGTTCCCGTCGCCAAAGGGGGCCTGGAAACGCAGCGGTCAGGCATGGGATTGTGGGGCCTGGTGTACAACGGTAGCAGACTGTACGAAGGCACCCCAAGGCCTTCTATAGAGGTCACCTCACTTCAAGACTCCGTTTCTTCGTCCTCCTCCTCCTCCTCCTCCTCCTCCTCCTCCTCCTCCTCCTCCTCTTCCTCCTCCTCCTCCTCCTCCTCCTCCTCCTCCTCCTCCTCCTCCTCCTCCTCCTCCTCCTCCTCCTCCTCTCGGTGGTGGACAAGCCTCCCTTTAGTAAACCTCCCTTTGCTGAAAACGGCCTGGAACCGAAGCCGACGGACCTGGACCCGCAACAATGACAGCCGCAACGCCCTCTCGCCAGCCGAAAACGGCCAATTCTTTAATCGACGTGTCAGGGCAGGAGGTCTATCAACCTCCGATCCTCCTACGTAGGCGCGTTGTCGTCGCAGGGCGGCGTGCGTCCGACGGGGGAAGTGTTTAAAAGGATCGTCGGATAAGCACCCGTCAAGCAAAAGAGAGGAGTCGGTAGAGGGGAACAATTAGTAAACACTCCCCCGTGCCCCCCAAACTCAAGGTTGGCACGCGCCGGGGAGACTGCGGTCGAGGTGCAACTCATCAGACCCACCGCCAACTTTGAACATTGGGGGGAAGGGAAGGCGTTGACATATGAAGGTGGCATGAGTGTTCGTTTGTTTGTTTGTTTGTTTTTTCCTCAGAGGCCTGGTGGATAATCCCACCAGCCCTCTGGGCGTGAATGGTTTCGCCAACTTCCTCTTCCGACCTTCCTCCCCCTCGGGGAAAGGTTTATCTCTGTTCCCTATTAATAAGCACCCCCTCCCCTGCGGAACCAGTCTGCCGTCCAGCGGCCCACTTCCCGCATCCCAGACGGCGCTGGCGCGAATCGTGACGTGACCAGCCCCTTCCCCCCTTCCCCCCCCCCTCCCCCCCCCGGTCACGCCCGCTATCACCTGGGAGTATAAAAAACGTCTCCTTTGGGCAAGAAGCCCGCGGCGACACC